TCTTCCAAATTAGCTTTAGTCTACAAAGAGTTTTTTAAAATCTTGTTTAGGAATTCTGGCAAAATCTATATTCTCTCAGCATATTATGATTCAGACTTTCACGGCTATCAGAGAATTCAGATTAAAGCAGATATTATTTGGGAAGATAGAGAAAACGTGTATTAGGCATCATAAATCTGACTGGTATAATGATATAATATGATTTTTTTTTTTTTTTGGGGGGAGGAGATCAGCCCTGTGCTAACATCCGCCAATCCTCCTCTTTTTTTGCCGAGGAAGACGGCCCTGGGCTAACATCCGTGCCCATCCTCCTCCACTTTATACGGGATGCCGCCACAGCATGGCTTGCCAAAGCAGTGCGTCGGTGCGCGCCAGGGATCCGAACCAGCGAATCCCGGGCCGCCGCAGCGGAGCGCGCGCACCCAACCGCTTGCGCCACTGGGCCGGCCCCATGATTTTTTTTTTTTTTTTTTTTTTTACATGCTTATCCTTATACTTTTTCAGTCCTATAAAATACGGTTTTGTATTGCTAAACCAAAGAGGAATCAGGAAAACACACTGGAATAGATCACAGATACATCGGAACTCATATGAAATTTCATTTACTCCATGAAGACCTAACATCAAGTTAAAACGTGTACACCAGCAACACAGTGCTCTAGCCAGAATCTAAATCCTATTCAAATACATGTGCTTACTAATGATGTCTTAGCAATTTTTAAATATTTTAATCTATTTGATAGCCTTGATTAATATTATTTAAACTTTCAACTCCAATGAATCCCTTAAAGCCTATGAACCCAAGCAACACAATGGCAGCATCAGCTTAGTCTGACCAATATCAAGGAGAGAATGAGAAGTGAGGATAAAGAAGTGGTAAGTGCAATGTACTCTTTCAAAAAACTTGGTGGTGGAAGGAATACAGATAAGAGTCAAAATATATCAATTATATCTCAATTAAAAAAACGAAAAAAGCAATATTGATGGAAAATCTGAATTGCATAAAACCGCTTAACTGAAATATATTTGAATTTAATCACACACACAAAAAGAGAGTCAAAATACAGTGGTTGTTTCTTAAGATGGCAGAGACTTGAGCATATTTAAATGCTAAAGGATAGAGTCACTAGAGAGGAAGAAGTTGAAAAATAGAACAAAGTAAGTGGAGAGATTAAACTCAGAGAGGAGGACGGATTCCTCTTCAATAGTATCTGGAGGGACAGATAGGGTTATAAGTGTAATGGCAGGACGTTGAGGGCTTCTGTGAAGCAGTGGGGTGGTAACTTTAACTGAAATAGAGAAGCTTTAAAAAAAGGTTGACTATGAAGTTGCCTTTAGGATGTAGCTGAATATTCTTATCAGTGTTCAAAACTCTTCATAATGCAGCCCCCACCTACATCCTCAGCTTCACTGGTCCACACGTTCTCACACCCAACCAGACCTGCACTCCAACCAAACTGATCCAGAATCCCTCAAATGCTCCTCTCATGCTATGTTTGTTCTTGCAGAGCCCTCTGTCTGGAATACCTTTTTCCTCATCTCCCTGCGAACACTTCTCATCCTTTAAGAGTTGGCTCCCATCATCCAACATTCCTTAAGGTCCCTTCCCCTTTTACCTCAGCTGCCCTTTACCCTGAGCCCAGTTACATGCCCCTTCTTTTTTTGTTGTTTTTTGTTTTTGTTGTTGTTGTTGTTTTGGTTTTTTTTTTTTTTGAGCAAGATTGCCCTTGAGCTAACATCTATTGCCAATCTTCCTCTTTTTTTTTTTTGTCTTTTTTCTCCCCAAAGCCCCCAGTACATAGTTGTATATCCTAGTCGTAGGTCCTTCTAGTTCTTCTATGTGGGATGCCACCTCAGCATGGCTTGATGAGCAATGCATATGTCCGCACCCAGGATCCAAACCAGTGAAACCCGGGCAGCTGAAGCAGAATGCGAGAACTCAACCGCTGCGCCACCAGGCCAGTTCCCTCCCCTTCTTTATACTTCCTTCTGCATATCTCTTCATCTCAGAATTTTTCACTAAGAATTTTAAACAGTGGGGTCGGCCCCGTGGCATAGCAGTTAACTGTGCACGCTCTGCTGCTGGCGGCCCAGGTTCTGATCCCGGGTGTGCACCAACACACTGCTTGTTAGGCCATGCTGTGGTGGCATCCCATACAAAGTGGAGGAAGATGGGCACAGGTGTTAGCCCAAGGCCAGTCTTCCTCAGCAAAAACAGGAGGATTGGCATGGATGTTAGCTCAGGGCTGATCTTCCTCACACACACACACACTAAATAAATAAATAATATAAAATCTTTAAAACAAAAAAAAACGAATTTTCAACACTGGCTTTCTTATTTCTACCAGTAGTCAGAAAGTTTTTTGGTTTTTTTCTGTTTTTAATTCCTGGATTCTCTAGCATGGGGCCTGGCACAGTGTAGGCCAATCAATAAATATTTGTTGAATGAATGGAAGATGATTATGTCAGAGTTTCCAGTACTTATATTTTACCCAGTAAAATACAAGAATATCTTTTACAAATGGAGAAACTAAGGCAGGAAGGAGTATGCACCAATAGTAACATTAGCATAACAAAGATTAATTTAAAAAAATAACTTATGTGAAATAATCTTTTACTTGGACTAATTAACATCCTAGCCACAGTCTAAAAAGTAGAATAAATGAGACTCTCTAATCATAACAAATAAACATTCTGCAAACACAAACATCAAGTTTCCAACACTGTACCACAGAGGATTTAGCTTTTCTGATTTAAGGATTCAAAATTGTTAAGACCAATCCTCCACCATACACCACAAAACTCTGGCACAACGAGGGACTGACCTAAAAACCCACTATTAGAGAGACATGAAAGAGCTTTATTTCACTTATGAAAAGCCTCATTTCCAGTTGGTCATATCACAATTGGCTAATACTGTTGCACAGATTTAACTAGATGGGTCCTTTTCAAATCAGAAAAAAAAAAAAGGACCTGACATTGCCAAGCTTTAACAATTGGGACGATAAACTTGTTCTTCTTGAGTATCTTACACCTTAAACAATGCTGTGGGCCTCCCAAGTCATCAGTTCATGCTCCATCCTTATACAAAAGCAGCAATAATGCAGTGGAAGAAGAATCAGTCCCAAGGTCAAAGTGCAGTTGGGGGCTAGTTCTCTATGCAAAGAACCTCCCCTCTAGAGGTAGATTTTCTTCACTGCCCAACCAGGTCCTATTATTGGAGAGAACTGAGGAGAAAGGTAAAGAACTCATTACTGATTATAATAAAGCTAATTCAGAAAAGCAGGAGTAGAAAACAAAAGGAAGCAAATAACTTGTGGGTAATGTATAGAAGTTCCCTAATATATGGTATCTTTCTATTGACAGCTTGAAGAACTACAGAGAAATAACATTCCTATGAAACAAGGATAAGATTACCCTATTATATTTGGAAAAACTAAGCTGGCTTGAGTTTATACTAATTATTAAGACCCAGAACTTTCTTAAGAAGTCATGGGCAAAGCCATGCATGAGGCAGCCCAGGGCAAGCTGGAGTCCCTGAATTAGAGTCCCACTGACAGGAGAAGAGATAGGGCAGATAGGAAATGACTACAGAAGGGAAAAACAAACAAAAACAAAAGAAAGGTCATTTCCATCTGGTTTCAAACCAAATAAATCCTCCAACCCCAACCAAGGCAAAGGGGAACCAACTTTCCACAGAACACAACAGAGTATGGTTTTGATATTTATTTTCCCACGGTTATCCCTGATGCTCATTTTAATCCAAAAATGAAAAGTGATCTTTTGTGATACAGCCAGCCTCTAGGCAAGTGTCAATACTGTACCATAATGCTTCCACATAAAATGCTTCTTTTAAGGATGGGGTCATTTCCTGGGATAATTCAATGCTACAGTTAATTTTGGAAAGAGCTGCACGATGGAGACAGCCTTGTAGTCAGAGATTTGGGTCTGATTCCAGGCACTGGTCCTTATTAGCTGGGTTATCTTATTCAAACAATTTCTGAGTCTTAGTTTTCTCATCTTCAAGATGGGATTAATAGTAACTACCGTGTAGGTGTCTGGTAAGAGGGAGAGAGACTATATAAAGTGGTTGGCATATGGTAAACACTAGATAACAGCTATTATTTACAAGAGTTCCTACTAATATAGATGCTGTTAGGCGCTGCGAAGACAGGTGAATGTTCTAGTTGCAAATAATAAAATTCCCCAATGTGCTTAGTGTTCAAAATTCTTTTTGCACATCACTCTTTTTCCGCCCATGAGGAATACAGGGGGAATCAATTAAAATAGCTAAAATTTTGGCAACACTGAAGCGTTTATAAAATGTTTGAGGGCTCATAATTAAGAACACCCAAGTCCTAAACAGCAACCAAATAATTAGCAGAGATAAAACGAGAACCCAGGGATCCCAGGGACCACCAGAGTAGCCGTTTGGCCGCCTCATGACCTCACTTAAGCGCAGGGGCCGTTTCTGGTCGGGTATTTCCGGCCACCCGACTCCTCACTCACCAGAACCGCGTGCTGGAGACCCGGCGGTCGTGTGGCCTCCATGCCGCACTACGGCCGGGTTACCGAGGGCCGGTCCTGGCCTTCGAATGTGGAAAGTCACTGAGTAGCCTCCTGAACACCGCTCATTCTTGTCTGAGTATAGAGAGTTACCGCTCGCCTCTCTCTCCGAGAACTCCATCGTCCCGACCTCGCCACATCCTCGGCGAGCTCGCCTGGCTCCGCAAGCGCGCAGCCGCCGCTTTCCCGCCCTCAGCGTCCGCAAGCCAAGCCGACCCCGGGGACCTGGACGCGGAGGAATGCGCAGGACCCGGAGGACGGCCCACCGCCCTGCTCTCATTGGGTAGCCTCATCTTTTCTCCGCCCCCAAGTTTGTTGCTTCCACAATGATTGGACCTGCGCAGTGTCCATCCTATCGCCAGTCACTGCCCCTTTCTCACCACCAGCTAGACCCCCTCCGCCCCGTTTTCTCCCGTATCGGTGCACTTCTTGCCCATGGCCTGCCGAGAGGGGATCGGATGCCCCTGGCAGTGCCCCGAGCCTTATAGGGACCGGCCCCTCCTCCTGCTCGAACCCCACCCACCGGGCCCCTCCTCTCCACTCGCAGACGCCGCATTCCATTCTGGGGCTCCCCCCACCTGCCTCATCTGCGATTCCTCCGCCCCTCCCTCCAGCCACCGCTCAGACGCCGGGGCGCTCCGGCCGAACGGGTGGCTCGCTGCCGGGATGCTCTCCATGAGGGCTTTGCAGAATGCGCTGAGCGGGGCGGGCAGTCACTGCCGGCGGGGAGGCTGGGGTTACCTGAGCCGGAGCCCCCTTCTTGGCGGGGGCGTCCGGCACCACTTCAGTGAGGCCGCGGCGCAGGGCAGGAAGACGCCGCAGTGCCACCAGCCACAGCACCAGGATCAGTAAGGCTCGCGGGACAGGGGCAGGGGACAGGCTCGCTCCCACCCCCCTTTCATTCTCGCTAGCTCCCGAGTCCTGTTCCCCCGGGAGCGCACCTCATCTCCCCTCTCCTCGCTCACTAGCCTACGATGCGTTTTCCTTTAGATTTGGGGCTTTGGGTCCGCCGCGCTCGGGCGGTATCGTGCCGTCCGCCCGGGAGGGCGTTTGGGCTGGTCGGTCCTCGGGATGGTGCCTGTGCAAGGTGCGTGCTTAACCGGAAACGGCGATGGGTGCGGAGTGTTGCTTGGTGCACGTGTCTGAGTGCAGGGCTGCGTGCGCACCGCCCATCCTCACCCTACCTCTCCTCCCCTCTCCTCGTGTGTGCTTTAGAGGATGCATGGGTATGGAACAGCCTCCTGCCTCGAGTCCTGGTGTACTTGGCTCTGTCTGTGTGGTGTGTCTGTGTTTCGGCGTGTCCCGGCGTGTAATTTGTGATTCGTGAGTATTATTGGTGCGCAGGTACATGCGTGTGTCCTTTGCGTATGTGTTGGGTGTGTGCGTTATCAGAGCTCCCTGTCCCTCATGTGTAGAATAAGGGTGGTTTTCCAACTGGTTGTTGAATGAGGAAAATCTTTATAATGGGGGGAAAAAATCATAAGACGCAGAATTCCCAAACCAGAGCCAATCAGAGCCGTTATTTGTGCTGCTCAGGCTCCCTGATTTGAAAGGGTTCTCCTCCCGCGGGCTCATATTCTGCCCGAGAGGCTGCCCTTCTCTCCCCCACCACCCGGAACACTTGGTGGCTGAGCCTCTTTTCTCCAAGACGCAGATGGAGCTGAGCAGGAAATTTTGTCCTCCCCAGAAGCCAACGTAGACAGGGCTCCAAGTAGCCCCTGCTCTATTATAGCAGGAACAGGAAATGGACCATCTCCCCTGTCACTGACATCTATCGATGACATTCAGAAAGACATGCACACCACAATTAAAGTAGCCAGACAGACACAGCACTACCTCACCACCACTGGAGTCCCTGTCCTGACAGGAACAGACCAATAAGGTATTATTTATTTATTATTAATAATAATAATTATGCTGTACTTTTCCATCAGCCTCTTCTCAAGGAGACACGGAACATTTCAACTTTAAAGAATAAGCCCTCGCTCTTCTGTTCTACTCTCCACCCCAAATTTTCCCAAATAGTCACCATGGGAGAAATGGTGGTGGGATGGAGCAAATGCTTAACCTCCCTCACCCTCAGGCCTTCTGTGGGATGGGGGGCAGGAAGTATCTTGGGTTCCCCCACACACACTTCCTTATCCAGTGGAATCAGGTGATAGAAGTGTTTTTCGGAAACTTGATCCTCCTGCCTGTGGCTGCCTGTGCTCCTGACTTCTTGGTGATGGCCTTGGACTGGCGCTCCCTTGGGCAGAAGTTGAGAGCACTGGAGGGGATGAGCTCTGGGAGTGTGACACCATGAGGAGGAGGGATTCTTGTGTTTGGTGGACAAGGAGGGCAGCAAAGAAAAATGCTCTGTTATTCAGGTTATTGTTTATTTGTTTTTTAATATTTAGTTTTATTGTATTTCTGATTATAAAAGAAAAACAAGATAGAGTATCAAGAGGAAAATAAAGATCCCAATATTAGAGGTAACCAGTTAATATTGTGATATATATCCATATATATTCCTATGTATATATAAAATTTAACAAAAATAGGATCATAGTATTCATACTCTTTGGTAACCTATCTTTTCCATTTATGAACAACTTTTAATATCATTGAATGTGTGTGTATGATATTTTTATTTTAATGGCTGCCATTTTGCCATTTTAAGATTCCATTGTATGAGGTGTCATAATTTATTTAACCAATCTTCAGTTTGGTTACTACATATTCTTATGCACTTGTTCAATTATTTCTTAAAGTCCTAGGAAATTTTGTTCCCCAGAGACATCCATCATCGATATCTTGTATAACCTTCTAGAGATATTTTATGCATATATCAGAAAATACATGTTGATATTATTTTCTTTTTTTTTGTACAAATGCTATCATACTGTACACGTTGTTCTTCATCTTGCTTTTTTTCCCTCAACATTATATCGTAGGTCAGTCATATCTGAGTTAAAGATGTGCAATTTTTTAAAGCTTGTGATACAGGAAGCGGTGTGGCATTATTTCTTGTCTTCCTTTAGCTTCCAGGCACAGAGACCTGCCCTCAAAGTGTTCCTACATACTTTCCTTCTTAAGTTATTCCTTAGGTAGTTTTTGCCTCCTTTCCCCTGTTACCATATGGATCCTCTCCTCCCTGTAGGCGTTAGCCTCATTGTGACAGTTGAATTTCCTCAGAAACAGGAAAACTACCCCCTCTTCTGCTATTCCTTCTGGCCCAAAACACACACATGCCTAGTCTATGCCAAGCTCTTGAGAGGCTTTTTATTTTTTAATGCATTGTTTTAATAGATAATATATTCATATATATCACATTCAATAGATAATATCTGCATATTCATATGGTTTAAAATTCAAATTATACAAAAAGATATATAGTGGGAAGTATACCTCCCACTCCTTTGGTCCAGCTCCTGCTTCATCTCCCTAGAGGGAGATAAATCAGTCTTACCAGTTTCTTATATATCCTTCCAGAAATATTTTGTATCTGAAAAAGCAAACATATTTTTTTCACTTTTAAACATAAATAGTACCATACTATAAACATTGTTCTACAGCTTGCTTCTTTTAGTTAATATTACATTTTAGAGATCATTCCATAGCAATACTTTATTAAAGCATGCCTTCATTTCTTTTTTTTTACACTGAATAATATTCCATTATGTGTCTATACCATAATTTACCTAACCAGTTCCCTGTTGCACATTTACGTTGTTTCCAGTCTATTACTAACATGCAATGAATAACTCTGAATATGTTCCTTTGTAGGTATGTGAGTACACCTATAGAATAAATACCCGGAAGTCAAATTGTTGGGTCAAAGGTTTTGAAGCGTCTTAATCTCAAATAGCTGTCATATTTGGAATGATCTGATAAAATAATTCCTCTAAATCTGTTAACGTATTAATAGGAGAACTCTTGAAGATGAAGAAGTCTTCAGTACATGGAATTCTAGGTGCTATAAGCCAGCGAGAGAGATACTTTGGGGAACAGGGACTTTCCTAAAAATGTAACTTGGTAATTCTTTATTCAAGACCCACTGTGGGCTAGAACTTTGGTCAATGCTAGGAAGACAAAGGTATATAAAACACAAAGTCCTAATAGTGGGGCAAGGGAGATTCTTCTGTCAGTAAGATGGTGTGTTGTGTCATACCAGCAGCATAAGCAAAAGCTGGAGGTTTGGGGAAGCCTTTACGGATTTAGTAATATTTGATCTGGACCTTGAAGGATGAGCGGGACTGTGCCAGGTGAAGGAGAAAAAGGTCATTCCATGCAGAAGTTGCAGCATAAGCAAAGGCCAGGAAGCCTGACAGTGCCTCGCCCATTTGGGGAGCCACCTGTTACCTGGCATAACGCAAGTGTGGGGGCACATTGGAGAATAGGAAAGGAATGTTGGCAGGTTTTAAAGAGTCTTAAATGCCATACCAAGAAATAAGAACTTATTTTGTAGGCACTGGGGAGCTACCAAAGGTTTTTGAGTAGAGAAATGATATTTGAGTTTTAGAAAGATAACTGGCACATTGTGGAAGATGGGTTGGGAATCAAGAGAGTATAGTGGCAGTTGGATAACAGACAATAAGGAGCAGATAATAAAGAAGCATGATTTACTGAGCATTGACTTTGTGAAAGACAGTTTTCCACAGAATGTTATTTTAATTAAGCCTCACATCACCCATGTGAAGCAGACATTACTACCCTTATTTTACAGGTTCAGCAATATTAAATAACCTTACTATCCCTATTAAGATGTCACACAGCTATTAAGGGGCAAACTCTGGTTCTTTCTACTACACCATCCTGGCACAGGGGAAGAGAAGAAAAGAGGGTGGATTTGAAAGACATTATGGAGGTAGATTCATCCAATGTTGGTTACCAACTGAACATGGTAAGGTATGGGAATTATCCAAATGATTACACGTTTCCAGCTTGGCAGCTGGGTGAGTGGTAATGCTGTTAACCCAAGTGGGAAACACAAGACAAGGAGCAGAGGGAGGGTGGGTGAGATGACCTCAGGTTTGGACATGTTGAGTTTATGGTACTTGTGGGACATCAGGAAATGGAAGTATCTAGAAAGCAGCAAGAAATAAAGGTCTGAAGGTTAGGAACAAAAGAAAGCTAGCGAGGAAGATTTAAGACTTCTCAGGACAGATGTGAAAGTTGAAATTATAGGGATAGATCAGATGGTTCAGGGAGGAGGCATAGAGTGAGCACACCTATCTACTTATAAACCTGTCTTCCAGGAAGACGAGCAGGGAGCAGTTCTCAGGTTCCTGTCTTCCTCCCTGTCTCTGCCCCCAGTGATTCATCAGAGAGTGGCATGCTGTCACGCCTGGGTGATCTGCTCTTCTACACTATTGCTGAGGGACAGGAACGCATCCCTATCCACAAGTTCACTACTGTAAGTTCCTCTCTACCTGCTCAGAATGCTAATCCCTTAGGATCTCTGGAAAGTGGGAAAAGAAGGGTAGAACAAGTGCAGAGCAGCTAATGGGTTGCTTCATGAGGATGAAGAAGAGCAGATGATGGCAGATGCCTCGGCTGATGAGGTGATCCCATCCCTGCCCAGAGTGGGAAGATTAAACCCTCTGACTCAACCCATCTTCTTGGTTTGGGAATTTGACCCCAAGGGGTTCAGAAACCAGCTGCCTTGATAAAAAAAAAATGGAGGGCGGGCAGGAAACCCCTATTAGCCTTCAAAGCTGCTCCATTTCCTCCTTTCTTAGTTTGCAAACCCTTTTGTTCCACCTATTGTAGTAGTTGGGGTTGAGCCAATTTTTATCCATTGGGAAAGATTATTAGGATTGGGTTTCTGTCCTTGTAGCTGACCTTACTAGGCTTCTTTTTTCCCCTAAAGGCACTGAAGGCCACCGGACTGCAGACGTCAGATCCCCGGCTCCGGGACTGCATGAGCCAGATGCGCCGCATGGTTCGAGAGTCCAGCAGTGGTGGCCTCTTGGACCAAGAGCTCTTCCAAAAGTGAGGGCCCCAGAAACAAGGGCACCACTCTCAAAACTGTTCTATGCACGTAGACTATAACATCAGGGAGGGATCTTGGGGACTGAATAGTTCTACCCTTCATTTTATTTTATTACTCATTTAATACACAAGTAACACATGAATATGCAGATACTCATTATAAAAGTTCAAACAGTATAGAAATACATGTCCTCCTTTCCCTTTCTTCCCAATCCCAGTCCCTTTTCCCAGAAGTAAACATTGTTAACAGATTAGTAGGTATCTTCAGGATAATGTCCTATGCATTTACATACATATGGGAATATATATAAATATGTGATTTAGGATTTTTAAAATATGAAGGTGACCTACTATACATATGATTCAGGTATTTATTTTTTTCTCATATCCTGTGTCTTGAGAGATCTTTCCACATCATTACAACCCCTTATTTAGAGGCAAAGAAACTTAAGACCCAGAAAGATAAAGTGACATGCCGAAGGTCACACAACTGTTCGTCCCAAACCTGATGACCACTCACATTTTCTTTATTCCCAACTTCCATGGCTCCAGAGTGAGTCACAGCTGCATCTCTCCAGCCCCCTAACCCAATCGTGTCTGGGATCCAGGTGTGTGAGCAGCAACATTGTGCTCCTGACCCAGGCATTCCGAAAGAAGTTTGTCATTCCTGATTTTGAGGAGTTCACGGGCCATGTGGATCGCATCTTTGAGGATACCAAAGAGCTCACTGGAGGCAAAGTGAGGGCCAGGGGACTAAGGGAGGTGCAAGGGCTCTGGGCCAGATATACTTTGCTTCTCAGAGGTTTCTTGGGGCTGGGAATCCAATGGATGAGAGATGAGAAGCAGAGCCTCTAAAAATGGGGAGAAGGATTTTATGTATTTCTAAACATTTGATTTGTAGAGCAGGTGAGGGAATCTGAGGTTTTTATGGGGACAGTTGACAGAAACATTCAATAGAACTTCGAAAGAGGGTAATTGAGCCTAAGAACCAGGAAGCCGACCCCAGAATTCTCCTCTTTTTACCTTCTATTGGCTTTACTGCCATCTCTATAGGAAAGATAAGGCTTTCTAGGACTTAAGGCTTGGGTGTCTCTGGGAACAACAGGCAGGAGGGAACCCCGTTGCCCTGAACAAGACAGAATTTTAGCTTTTATCTAAAAGATTCCACTCACCCTGAACCTCAGCTCTGTTCCCCCTCTCCACATCCATATCTCCATTGTGTCTCTGTTTTCCCTACCCACTCATGCCCAGGTGGCGGCCTACATCCCTCAGCTGGCCAAGTCAAATCCAGACCTGTGGGGAGTCTCCCTGTGCACCGTGGATGGTCAGCGGTGAGATGCTGGGTGAGGGGAAGGGGAGGAGGGCACAGGTGCAGAACATAGGCCGACCCCTTTCATGGCGCTTGTCTGCCTCCAGGCACTCTGTGGGCCACACGAAGATCCCCTTCTGCCTTCAGTCTTGTGTGAAGCCCCTCACCTATGCCATCTCCATAAGCACCCTAGGCACTGACTACGTGCACAAGTTCGTGGGCAAGGAGCCCAGCGGCCTGCGCTACAACAAGCTCTCCCTCAATGAGGAAGGTGAGCACTGCCGGGCTCAGCTAGACTCATAGATGCCCCTTCTTATCCCCCAGCCCGCCAGCTCATTTGTTTGTTTCTCTGCCCTTCCTGATGAACTCTGTCATTCCATCCTCCCCAGCAAAAAAATCTTTTTGTCTAGCCTACAGAGTGGGCAGACTGCAAAGGAGGTTTTGCTCAGTGGCTGATAAAACTCTGAGCGGTTTGTATTTCCCCAGGAATCCCCCATAACCCCATGGTCAATGCTGGTGCCATTGTCGTGAGCTCCCTGATCAAGGTCAGTGCCACCCTAGCCTTCTGGAAGGTACTGTTCTCTAAACCCCCTTGTTCCTATATCCCTCATATCTGCCCAGCTCTCCAGGGAGACTGGTGGGGCCTTGATTCCTTTGAGGGTCCCCAGGAGGCAGTGGGGGCACAGCAGGGACCCACATATTACGCTGAGGATGTTAGTAAAAGGAACCGTACCCCTGCCCCCACCCACGAGTCTGGAGCCCAGAGCTTCTTGGCCCTTAGAGAAGTGAGCAAGTCCTGACCCCTGCCTAGGACCAAGGGCCAAATGCCAGACACAGGGGGAGGACAGCACTCTTAGGCACTGATTGGCCACTTCTGGGTGAGAGACGCATGGAAGGAAGGGTGAATGGCCAGGCCAGGGCAGCTATTCACGTCACCTGAACTGTGATTTGGCCTTGAGCAAGGGTGTCAGGCTGGTCTGTCAGCTGTAGGTCTCCCAGGGCTTGAGCAAGAACCTGAGAGCAGTGTGGGCAGCAACACTCCGGAGCCAATCACAGGCCCTCCTGGGGAAGGTGGTGTTAGGAACCCTCCCCCCAGGGACTCGGGTGTCAGAGTCCTGTAGTATTGACACTGTAATTGACATGTACAGGAAGCAATGGGGGGTGGGAGGCAGGCTCAGGCTCTCCCCTTGCTCTGGGATAGCTCTATCTACAACTCTGTGTCTGGGGCAGGCCTCCTCCCATTCCCATCTAAGCAGGCCCTATTGGACTTGATTCTCAGCTAAAATCTTTAGCTTTATTTCAGTTATCAATATAATTGATGTAGTTGAATATTATAATATATGCAACACACACCCTTATCCCATTCCTGACACTCACTCCCATCTTGGAGATGGCTATGGGAGTCAGGGAAAGAACAGAGTAAGGCTCCAGCCTGGGGTGTAAGGAATAGGGATGGGGACAGAATTGGAATCAGGAAAATGAAAGTGGGAGTCAGGGATGATGGTTGGGATTGAGAATGGAAGGGGGTTGGTCAGAATCAGGGATGGCTGAGGTTATCTGTACTCGTTACGTGATGATAAAATCTAAATGGTGTGGTTTTTATTTATTTATTTTTTGTGTGTGTGAGGAGATCAGCCCTGTGCTAACATCTGCCAATCCTCCTCTTTTTCTGCTGAGGAAGACTGGCCTTGGGCTAACATCCGTGCCCATCTTCCTCCACTTTACATGGGACGCCACCACAGCATGGCTTGCCAAGCAGTGCGTCGGTGCACACCCGGGATCCGAACCGGCGGACCCCGGGCCGCCGCAGCGGAGCGTGCGCACTTAACCGCTTGTGCCACTGGGCCGGCCCTAAATGGTGTGGTTTTTAAGGTCACTAGATATGCATGGATACAAAAAAGTCTCAGTTGTAAAAAAAAAAATGTCATTGTAAAATATAACACATTCCTAGTAGTAAAACCAGTCTAACACGTCAGCTCCACGAAGTCCTTTTGACCCTCTCCTGCTATCCTCCAAGGCTTGGAATACTGATCTCTCCTTCTCTCTTTGCAGATGGACTGTAACAAAGCAGAGAAGTTTGATTTTGTAAGTTCCCTTGCTCCTCAGCCCTGGCTGCTTTTCTCCATCGCACATTGTCCTCCCAGCTGCCCCAGTGCCTGGCTCTCACCCCAGTTTAATAGTGCACCACCCCACACCAGAAGCCTTATTTCCAGGGGGGTAGGAATCGCCTGGCCTCAGAGAGGAAGGCCTCCTGCAGTCCCTGCTGGGATAAGGACTGAGGAGTTCAGAAGGGCTAGTCAGCCTAGGACGTGTTTAGGAGGGGTCCTCACTCATGGGGTGCCTCCCATGACCCTTGTTCTCTTCTAGGTGTTGCAATATCTGAACAGAATGGCTGGGAGTGAATACGTGGGTTTCAGCAATGCCACGTAAGGCGCTGTTCACAGGACTGGCTGAATGCATGGGGCGGGGGTGATAGAGGAGGGGGATGAGAGAGAGAACCTTAGGAGGAAGAAATCCCGGAGAAACTTTGGCCTCCCAGCTTCCTCTGAGCCCCTTCATTGACATTTGTTTACTTTGTATAAGAATTTGTTCCATTTCTGTTTAGTACTTAATGAGAGAGGCAGTGTGCGAGTTTGCACCTAGGACCTTTCTTGCCAAGCCTCTCAAAGCCAAAAACCTCACCAGTTTTCCTAGACTAGATGATAGACAATTTTGGGTTTTGTTTTTTACTTTTTAAAATAATACCATGCCCCGTGCTTGCTCAGGGTCAGAAGTTTCCTCCAGTATTACTGTGAGAATTCATAACGGGGCTGATTTAGTTTAACATGTGTGATCCAGTTCTCTCTCAGGGAAGATATTTTTTCCCCTTCTCCTCACACCCACCCCTCACGCTTCAAGTACTAAATTGGGTGTTTGCTTCAGATTCCAGTCAGAGAAGGAAACAGGGGATCGGAATTATGCCATCGGCTATTATCTAAAGGAAAAGAAGGTAACTGGGAGAGGCCAGCAGAGAAAGTCCCTGGGAATTCTGTGGCTGGTGGAAGGGCAGTCGGGGTTGGGGACTTGGGCTGAGATCCTGGCAGTGTGACAGGGACTGCTGGTGGCCTGAAGAGAAATGCTCTCCCTTCTTCCTTGCAGTGCTTTCCCAAGGGGGTGGACATGATGGCTGCCCTCGATCTCTACTTCCAGGTAAGCAAACACTGCCGTTCAGCTCAGGGCCAAGGGAACAGGACACACGGCCCTCCTTGCTCCGACCCACAAGAGGGATGCTCCTCTCCAGTGGTTCTAGTGTCTTTCAGAAACACCAGGGGAACTGGCCAAGAACATTGCTCTATACCCGACAGCAGTGTTCACGTCCACACTGCACCCTCTCCTCTGCCTTGTCTCCATAGCTGTGCTCTGTGGAGGTGACCTGTGAATCAGGCAGTGTCATGGCAGCCACCCTGGCCAATGGCGGGATCTGCCCCATCACAGGCGAGAGTGTGCTGAGTGCTGAAGCAGTGCGCAACACCCTCAGCCTCATGCACTCCTGCGGCATGTATGACTTCTCGGGCCAGTTTGCCTTCCACGTGAGTGCCACGAGCCCAGAGCCAAGAAGAGAGGACACTGAGTCTCTGAAGGTGGAGAGGTGGAAGCTTGTTCCTGCCTCTCATTCACTAACTTCCAGCCAGGCAATCAGGCAGAGAATCCTTAGGGAGTTTGTCAAACACACCACATCCCCCAAACACAGAAACACATGATGTTGCAGCTTCTAAGAGCTCTTCTGGCGCCCTTCACGTGGCTGGTGCTTCTCCTCCAGGTCTCAGTTTAGATGTCACTTCCAAAGAGAGGCTCTTCTGACCACCCTGTCTCCAGTGGGCCCCTCCCACTTCTATCACAGCACCCTACTTTTCTTCTGTTATCATAAGCTGTGATGATTTTTTTTTTTTTGGTGAGGAAGATCAGCCCTGAGCTAACATATGCCAATCCTCCTCTTTTTGCTGAGGAAGACTGGCCCTGAGCTAACATCCGTGCCCATCTTCCTCCACTTTACATGGGACGCCACCACAGCATGGTTTGACAAGCGGTGCGTCGATGCGCGCTCAGGATCCGAACCGGCAAACCCCGGGCCGCCGCACCAGAGCGCGTGCACTTAACCACTTGCGCCACCAGGCCAGCCCCTGATTTTTGTCTATTTATAAGTTTACTTGTTTATTGTCTATCCCCTACCACCAGAATGTAGGTGAAATGACTTTGTCCTAGTTCTAGCACAGCATCAGGCACAGAGTAGATACTCAATAAATATTTCCTTACTGAAGCCATGAATTTAAGGGGGGACGGGGGGACGGGGAGAGTGGAGAAGGAAGAGAAGCTAATTAACAAGCCAAAAGGTTGGGATGGGTGAGGCCTCGCCCACGCAGTCATCTGGGATGGACTAACTGGTTAACCCAGACTTGGGGCACCTGTAGCGCATCCTCAGTTTCAAGTTTGTCCCCAAGGTGGGCCTGCCAGCCAAGTCAGCTGTGTCAGGAGCCATCCTCCTGGTGGTACCCAACGTCATGGGAATGATGTGTCTGTCACCTCCACTGGACAAGCTGGGGAACAGCTATAGGGGCATCAACTTCTGCCAGGTGAGTTAGTTTGCTTATAGTACTTAATATTCTTAAATGAGTAAATAAAGCAATTTTGAACTCCTACTAAGTGCAAGAAGTAAACAATCTCTTTGGCTTACAATTCTAGAAGTTAGTGTCTCTCTTCAATTTCCACAATTATGACAACCTGAGACACTGTGCTCGGAAGTTAGACCCACGGCGTGAAGGGGGAGAAGTTCGGGTAAGGAAAACACCAGGTGGCTTGTAAGAATAGTTCAGAATAGAACATTCCATAACACTTCAGCAATACCTTTGGCTAAGCATCCATGGGGGAGGGTCACAGAGCAGAGCTGGGCATGGGTGGGTTCAAAGTCACAGTTAATATCAGGTGGGTACGATTTGTTTTCCAGAACAAGACTGTGGTGAACCTGTTATTTGCTGCCTATATTGGAGATGTCTCAGCTCTTCGAAGGTACTTCTACTGTGACCAAATGAACACAATAAAGTACTCCTGGACAAAGACCTCATTAGGAGTCAACATAGCAAAAGAGTTAAGTGCTTCAGCTTCCACGTCAGACAGAATGGATTTAAAGGAGATTTTTTTAAAGTACAGTGCCTGCCATGTGATAAGAACTTAACTAATGGTCACCACTGTTATGATTAACCTGGGTGTTAAGAGCAGAGTCCTAGGAGGTAGGTAAGGACCCTGCCTCAAATAGATCACCAACATCAACAAATATGTACTGACTACCTACCACAGGCAGGCAGAGACGTTTCTGGAACCGTCACACTCCTGTCTCTCTGACGTGGGAAAAAGTCTTATCTGGGTAGCGAACAGACTGTGCAGGGTCTACAGATCTTGGCATATTAGCTCTGTTTAACTTTTTCTGGAACCCATCCAGTGTGACCCTTCAGAAAGGACACTAGTGGGGCCGGCCCTGTGGTGTAGCGGTTAAGTGCACGCGCTCCGCTGCTGGCAGCCCGGGTTCGGATCCCGGGTGCGCACCGATGCACTGCTTGTCTAGGCCATGCTGTGGTGGCGTCCCATATAAAGTGGAGGAAGATGGGCACGGATGTTAGCCCAGGGCCAGTCTTCCTCAGCAAAAAGAGGAGGATTGGCATGGATGTTAGCTCAGGGCTGATCTTCCTCACAAAAAAAAGAAAGGACACTAGTGATTCTAGGCTGATCTGGGTAACTCCAGCTGCTTCCACTGCCCTCAGGTTTGCCTTGTCAGCCATGGACATGGAACAGAAAGACTATGACTCCCGCACAGCCCTGCATGTTGCTGCAGCTGAAGGTATCTGAAGGATAAATAAGAGGGGAAGCAGATCGTAAAGTCCTTTCTTTTCTACCCAGAGTCTATGCCCTCAAGGTTACAAGGGCAGCAACTAGTTTTGTCCAGATGCCCTTCAGTTTGCAGGCCAACTATTATTGGATGCTGCAGGGAGCAAAATGGAAAGAGGCCTTCCCCCTCCCTTCTTGGTTCAGACTCCAGCTGCCAAGAGTCAGTACTAACGTTAACACCAAAAGATTCAGGATCAGTACCTCTCGTTTTCCTTCTGCCATATTCCTAGGACACACTGAAGTTGTTAAATTCCTGATTGAGGCTTGCAAAGTGAATCCTTTTGTCAAGGATAGGTGAGTAGGATTAAGCTGAAAAGGGGAACGGGAGGTAGGCAGCAGCTTCTCCACCGCTCCACCACAGTTATGTATATAACCAGGGCACTTTCGGTGTCTTCATGCCTGATCATGGCCTTTGTTCCTCTCAGGTGGGGCAACATTCCCCTGGATGATGCTGTGCAGTTCAACCACCTGGAGGTGGTGAAACTGCTTCAAGATTATCAGGACTCCTACACACCATCTGAGACTCGGGCTGAAGCAGCAGCTGAGGCTCTGTCCAAAGAGAACTTAGAGAGCATGGTGTGAGCATGGGGCACACACGGTCCCTGCTTGAGAAAAAGCATGAGCTGGCCACACATTTAACCCATAACCACCAAACCTGGTACGGAGAGCTGCACTGCTTCAATGGGGACCAAGACGTAGGCCAGCGCTTTCTGTGAGAGTCAAAACACCCCATTCCCTTGGCAGACAAGAGTACAGAGAAGTGCCTCGGTGGACACCTGCAGTCGGGCTATCCATGGAGACTGTGGGCTTCTTCAGGGTACAGCCCAATGGCTTGGCCCGCTCAGAACCATCCCAGGTCTTCCCCCAGGTCTCCTCTTCCTCCCCCTGAAGAAATCATCATGAGAGAGAGAGAGAGAGAAAGAGAGAGAGAGAGAGAGAGAGAGAGAGAGACTCTGGTCAAGGGGCTCTAGCCACCATGCACATGTATATATCCAGAGGAAGGCAGGGAGCTATGTACCTGGCTTTAGTAGTCTGGAGAGTTCTGCCCCCCCTTAGCCAGGAACTGCTGCTGCTACTGCTAACAGCAATTTTATAGACAGAGAAAATATTTTGTGCTCAAATAAACTTTAATTACACAAATTATTATTTTTGCTAAACCCAGTCCTTCTCTTTCTCCCCTAGGGGCATCCAGCTGCATGACCATCGTAAAGGTAGAATAAGATGCAACCACAGGGTTAGACAGAGCCCAAACAATACATATTTCACATACATACTCACCCCACCAGGTTTCCCTCAACCCCAAATACTTCTTTAGGTTAAGTGTATTCTGCTGCCAAGGGAGGGGGACGGCTGGGGTCTGAGCAGGCCCAAAAATGGATTGTGTAAGACCTCAGGCCTCCCTCCAACATCTGGAAGTTCCAATTGTAGCAGAAATGAAGATAGAACTTCTCAAGAATAAAGTTTCTAGCACTAACCCACTCAGTATGCCCTAAGTGTCTTCTTCCCCTTTGGTCACGGTTATAACTGGCCCAATGATTATAACGCATTGACCAGGTGTCAGAGGTGTGCAGATTAAGGCGGATGGACTCAGGGCGGGGAAAGCTACAGCTGTGTGGGGCTGAGAGTCTGTGGCATGAAGGTACCGTGGGAGGAGGGCTCTGTCCTCACTCTGACACTGTCAGTAAAGCGCTTCCTGAGGGAGCCAGAGCCCAGACTTTATGTGCTGTACAGAAAGGGCCAAGCCACTGACTGCACCACTCCTCCAGCCAGAGGTAGAAAGAATTCACTCTGGAGAGATTCAGTAGAGCCCCAAGAACAAACAAATTACATGTGGGCAAAGGGAGGGCAAGGTATCACAGTGATGAATAAATACAAACAAAGCTAAAAGGCAAGACCCCAGTACTGAATACGGCCTGAGAAAGGCCAGGGCACAGGGAGGCAGAGGGTCTGAAGGAGGCTGTCAGGGGAGGTGCATTCCTGGTAGCCTAGAAAATTGGCAGCAGTTTGGGGGACGGAGAGGGTGGCTTTATGCCTAGCTTTCACCGGGTAGGGGAGAAGATAACTAAGGATTACACAGAGGACCCGACACTGAATTGTGGGAGCTAGAGGCTGTTTGGGGCAAAGTTAAAAAGATTCAGACACTTTCAGCAGAAGGCTGGCCAAAGGCATGATTAGGGACTCCAGTGATGGACATAACTAGAGGCCCTCAGGCACTTCAAGCCCAGAGTGGGTCAGCAGCTCTCCATCCCACAGGGCAAAGGCAGGCACCACTGGACCCCGGAAATCTGTCTGTAGCGTGTGGACCACAGCCATCCGGCTCACATCCACCAGGCTCAGCTTCTGAGCCTCATACTCCAGCAGCAGCCCCACCTTCTCTGGCTGCCCGATGCCCTCAACAGGGGCTTTCTCCTTGGCCAACATCGTATGCCACTTGTGCTGGGCATAGGTGAACACCCAAGAGCGATCGTCAACACCGATGCAGCTGTCCCGGGACATGTCCACATCTGCCACTCCTATCCGGAACTGCTGGGAGCGCTTCACTGTCACCTCCCAGTAGTGCCTGCCACTGGTGACCGCTGTGTCTGCCAGCACCACTGCCCACTCCCGGAAGCGCTCCACATTCAGGGCCACTTTGGTGGGCTCCAATCCCACCATGCCATACTTGACACCTGTGTCACCTTTGAAGAGTGCCAGGCTGCTGTGGGCGGTTTTTTCTTCCAGTTTGAAACTGATGCCTGCGGGCAGAGCAAAGAGACAGGATGACGACAGGGGTTAGAACTCCAGAACTAGGGATACGTTCATATTCGGATCTGAAGCAGGCAGTCATGAGATCAGAGGAAACAGGGAAGAGTCAGAAGGTCCAGCGGGCAGGAGAGTAGGGGCGCTGTAGGATAGGCAGCCCAAGGAGCCAAAAAGTTCGACTGGGGAAGCCCTGGGATTTAAAGAAACCGGAAAGTGTCCCAAGTTTGGAATCTCAAGACCAAGGCCAGTGGGGGAAGGGAAGTGGCCCGAGGGGGCTGGAGGTGTTTCTCCGAGCGGGCTCCGGGAATAACGAACGGAAGCCTTTTTTGAGGTAAATGAGGGGAATGTAGATAGTCCTACCTCGGCGGGCTTCCACGGCGGCGACCCCCAATTGTTTGGCTCCCCAGCGGCACAGCCACAACGACCGTGCAAAAGGCAGCGCCATCTTCCGCCACGGACGAGCCCGGCACGCCCCCGGCCTGAGACCACGCCCCCCCATCCGCCCGCCCACTGCCCTCCCGCGTGGTGCGCAAGAGGAGGCGCGCAGTGTGATGACGTAACGGAGCCCGCGCCCAGTAGGGAGCCGCCATCTTAGTGGAGTCTGTTCCGGTTCCGCCGGTGGGTTGTACAGTTTATTCAGGTTTTCTGCGGAGAGTCAAGGTGCTCACGTTTTAACTAAATAGAACCTTTGCAGAGTTGGTGTAGCAGTGTGGTTGGATTCGAACCCGGCTCCGTTGTGTGACTTGGGGCAAATCACTTAACTTCTTTGAGCCTTAGTGTTCTCGCTTGTAAAATAGAAAAATATCTAGCTATCAGACCTTAGTAAAAACTAAATGAGAGAATAACCTAAAATACAGCTTGACAAATAGCAACCATTGGGTAAGTGGCAGTTGTTTTAATAAATATTAAATACATAAATACTGTTAATGTTGGTTTTGTATTTTCAGGGCTGGGAATGGAGGGTTTAACCCAGTATTCGGTTTTCCCAACTTAACCAAAAGTATCACTGTTTTGGTTCAGAGTGAAATAGGTAAAAGGTAGCGGAGTGTGGAGAGCCTACACTTAGCGTTTTGATCTACTTGAGGCGCTATATCCCTGCTTTCTAAATTTTTCAGTCCACTTCTCAAGGCTCTGCTGGCCAGCCGAATATCAACATGGCATCTCCGTCCTCCTGTGCCTCGGAAAAGCGATTTTAGGTCTTTAAGAACCTAAAAAATTAACCAGAAATTGTCCCCCTGCCCCAGAGTTACAGCCACCATTCCTGTGGAGATAGCATTACTTCAGGCCACTGTCATCCTTGGCCTCAACTGGGGCTTTCTCATTTTAATGTGGTAACTTCTTTTTTTTTTTTTTTTTTTAAGATTTTATTTATTTTATTTTCCCCCCCAAAGCCCCAGTGGATAGTTGTGTGTCGTAGCTGCACATCCTTCTAGTTGCTGTATGTGGGACTCGGCCTCAGGATGAACGGAGAAGTGGTGCCTCGATGCGCACCCGGGATCCGAACCCGGGCCACCAGCATCGCAGTGCGCGCACTTAACCACCAAGCCACAGGGCCGACCCTTAATGTGGTAACTTCTAAGCTGGTCTCCCAGCTTCCATCTGTCTGCTTTAATCCAATGTCCACACTACAGTCAGGGTGATATTTCTAAATCACAAATCTGATCATGCCACTCCCCTACTTAAATCTTTTAATGTGCCTCCTCAAATTCCCTTGCATGGTCATAAGGCCTTACATGACACGACTGCTGCTTACCTTCTTGTTCTTTCTGACAAAACACAGCCCCTCTTTCAAAGGACTACAGTCTAGTGGGAAGATAGACGAAAATATTGGCAACTGCAGTACGAGGCACGAAGTGTCATGATTGAAGGGGCTACAGGATGCTCTGGCAGCGAAGGAGAAGCCACTGATTTAGTAGTTGTTGGGAAGAGTCTTCCAGAAGCCATAGCTTTGGCTTGAAAAGCAAAACTGGTTAAGCAGATGAGGGAACCCCAGCCTGCTCAGGATTTCAGCTAATGTCTTCTCTTCTGATATACATACTTTCTCTTGAGTATCTCATCTATGCTGGTAGAGTCTGCTATCACCTGCTGGAGAAGGACTCTCAAAATCTACCCCATATTTCTGTCCTGAGTTCCAGATCTGTTTATCCAACAGCCTATTGGACATTTCTACCTGGATGTCCCCCAGTCACCTCAAACTTAACATGTCTAAAGCTAACTGTCTTCCTACACAAAGTTCTCCTCCATCTAGATTCCCTGACTCTATGAACTGCAACCCATAACCAGCCAGTTGCCCAGGCCAGAAGCCTGGAAGTCTTTGACTTGTCTCCTTCATCTCACGTATCTGGTTGTCATTGAATCCCTATCACATTATTTTGCATTCCCCTTCTAATTGGTCTCCTGTTATCCCCAGTGCTGATGAGGAGGGAACATTTAAAGAGGCAGCTACCTAGCTCACCCATTATGTTGTGAATTGTTTTCTTTTTTTTGGTGAGGAAGATGGTCTCTGAGCTAACATCTGTGCCAAACTTCCTCTACTTTGTATGTGGGATGCTGCCACAGCATGGCTTGATGAGAGGTGTGCATGTCCCAGCCAGGCATCCAAACCCATGAACCCCAGGCTGCCAAAGTGGAGTGTGGGAACTTAACCACTATGCCACTGGCCCAGCCCCAACGTTGTGAATTCTTAAGAATGGGGATTCAGTGCTTGTGCCTCAGGGCCTCAGTATTCCCCTTAGTCCAGATTAAGTGTGCATTGTTTTTAAATGAATGAGTATAAAGGGAGAGAGTTTTGTGCCCACATTCTTGGAGTGCAGTGGTTCATCCCCTCCACTAGGGGACAGCTTGGCCCAGCCTTTTCATCCGGCTTAGTATGTGAGAAGAGAGGTTTCTATTCCTTTTAAGCCTAGGAACAAAGGTGTGGAGGAGAGATTTCCCTCAGACAAGTCCTGCTCTGTCAGTACTTGGCATTTTAGTGGTAATGAGAGGAAAGTTCCAGGACTGTGTTTCTGTAGGATTTCTCCTTTGGTTCCACCCTGGTCGTGAGAGCTGAAGCAATCACGGCACATTCCTCACACTGTCCCTTAGACACACCTCTGTTTCCTCTGTTTATTCCTTGCTCGGGGAATAGTTTCTTACCTGTCATCTCTTGCATTACTTCACTTCTACAGACTGACTATCCATCTGATAAACTCACCTTCATCATTCAGATGATTTACCCTGCCTTGTTGCTAATGAGCAAGTAATTAATTCTTAATATTTCCATGCAAAATAATTAGGAAGTAATAGGATTTACTTGATAGACAAAAGGAGAAGAGACATTCAGGGTATAGGGAACAGCTTAGGCTAAGGCACTGGGTTATGAAACAGAGTAGGGTGTTTGAGGAACCACAAGAAGCACAATATTGCCAGAGTCTGCGCTGGGGAGATAAGGAGAGCAGTTGGAAGAGTAAGTTGAGGCTAGATTATGAAGAGTTGTGTATGATAAGAACGTCTTTCAGCCATCCGGAGCTGTTGAAGGGAACCCAGGGAAATGACAAATTGCAGGTACCTTTATAAAGATAAAGCTGGTAGCAACATGGAGAATGAATAGGAGGGGAAGAGACTAGAAACAGGGTCAAACAGGGTCCGAGGCCACTAGAGTTCTCAGGTGAGAGATGGTGTGGGCTCAGCTATCTAAGAGGTAGAATTGATGGAGCTTTGGTGACTGGAGAGATGGGAGTGAGAGAATGATGGAGCTTTGGTGACTGGTGAGATGGGAGTGAGAGGATGGGGAAGGGAAAGCGGATTCATAGGTCTGTCTCTGACTTAATGAGGGGATACAGAAGGAAAGACCCGTTGAGATGAGGGGAAGATAATTGGTTCAGTTTTGGACAGGCTGAATTTGAGGTGTCTATGGGACACCCAGGTGAAAATGTTCTGTAGATAGATGGATATAAATTTCAAGGGAGAGGTGGACGTGGATGAAGTCATCCAAGGAGAGGTATAAACTAGACTAAGTAGGGAAGGTGCAATCCTAGGGAATACCAGCCCCTGAGATAACACACATAAAGTGCTTAGAACAGGACCTGGCTGATAGCGAGTACTGGTCTGCCTGCCTTGGGGTTGTGTCTGACTCTGTAGGAAAGGAAGGGGAGAAGGAGGCAAGAACAGGATGGGCCGGTCTATTTTTACTCTATTTCTAGGATTACCCCATTTCTAACATGGTCTGGGTCCTGGTCTGATCCAAGTGCTAATTGGAACCCTTAACTATGGATGGAAGTGGGATGATGCTCTCAGAGCTTGGTGATTGTTCTGGACTTTGCCAGGAGTCAGCAGTCAGCAAAGCATAACCAGAGAAAGAGAGAGAAGGGGGGCCCTCAGGAGCTAGCCAAAGGGGCTGCTAGGCTGGCTTGTGCTACACTGGGGCCTTTGTCTTACTGAAACCGTCCACACAATGGAGCTGGTTACTTGCTGACCTGGCATTCTGAGTATGGGGCTGGGATAGAGATTCCACATAGTGGAACCAGAGACCCAGTCCCTCAGGACTGTATCTCTCTATTCAGCCATGTCTCTATTCATTGTAATTTCTAGAGAGGATGTTCAATACTTTATAATCATAAATTATGTTTCTATCTGATTAATTCATGAATCAGTTCATTTCTACTTTGATTTAACGCAGCTAACTTAACATGTATATATTGCTTGGGCATATCTCATCTGATCCTCATACGATCCTGTAAAATTAGCAAGGTAGATATTTTTATGGAACTCAAACCTGGGTTATTCTTAGGTCCTGATGATATGGGCTGGCTGGGGAGAAGCTTCAGAGAGGTGGGGAGCTGGTCCTGGACAACCTTAGAGCTGGCTGTCACATGGGACCCACTGTGGAGAAATGAAGCAAAACAGACAGCTCTGCCTGAAGATTCTCTGAGCTTTATAGACTCACTTGCTCCCTAGTAGTATGGATTATGCTTCCTATGGCACTTCTCCGTAAACATAGGATCCTTAGCCTCAGGAATATAAAGAGGTTGAAAGGTTGGTGGTTAGTAATCAAGAGATAATCAAGTGTAGAGATAGGTGAGACTCCAGGATGATTACTACCACAAGCCATTAAACAAAATAACTTTGTAACTCTCCCAAGTTTGTTTTACAAATCCTTTTTCTCCACTTCCATAGTTCCTCATGGCAAAAACTTCAAAAATGTTTGTATGCTTGCTCAAGGCCAGAAGAGAGAAAGGTGGAGAATCTAGAGCTAAACATTTTTTGCAACCCCTAAAAAGAACCCCAAATATAAGAAGGGAGTAGAATGATAGCAAAAGAAGTGAACAAGCCAACGAGAAAAGAAGACAAAGACGAATCAGGTGTGTCCTGGGTGGTCCCAGGAGTGTTGACCCCAGGAACACCCTGCCCTCCCAGGCAGCTCTTCAAAGGCACTTTCCTTTGCTGATTCCAGTGGCCCGGGTGCAAGTTCAGCACTGGTACCCTCTCAGTGGTTTACTCTGT